GTATTCAGGAATTTCCTAACAATGTGGCATGTATTCAATATAGTGGCCTTCTGTAGTGTGATGTATGTATTTCTATTCAATTGTAATGTTCCCAGGCTTTTGTGTAGTGTGTGTGGTATCACACCTGTACAGGAGAGAATGACAAGTACAATAAGCACCCTATCCATCCTCCATAGATGCTTTATTTCCTGGGTGAGTTCTCTGTACTTATTATTATTATTATTAAGCAGTTAATTTACCTTCTTAAATTTATTACAGGTGGTTCTTGTTGTAATAAATAAATCAGACGATTAGGAGTTGTCACCAATATATCTAAGAAATGGAAAATTGTTTATCTTAATTACTTAATACTACTTTTATGTAAAAATCTTTATGTAAGTTTAATTATAGATTTTATATTATAATCACCTAATAATATAATTATAGGTATATATTTCAATAATATTTTTTCTAGTGAGATTAAATAAGATGGATTGAAACAAACTGCTGACAGAATAAAGTGTTCAACCAAAAGAAAATTATTTATTTCATCAATATTATCTATGAATAAATAATAAATATTTGAAAAAAACCCCAAAATATACATTTCTGATTTCTTTTAAACTATTGTTAATAATATATAAAAATGTATATATATATACTGTAAATGGCATAAAAACTCACAAATAATGAAATTTCAAGTCAACAAAGTATTATTCTAGAACAGGGGTCGGCAACCTGCGGCTCTTTGGATGTGAAACTGCGGCTCTTTAGTTCCATACGCAAATATTATTTATTTTATCAAAAAAAAAAAAAAACATTTAAAAATCGTTCTGAATCGATTAACGAGGATTCGGCACCGATTCTATCTCTCAGCCACTTGTACTCGCTTTTCATCGCAACCCTCCCCCGTGACACACGTCGTCACTGTCGTCAGTCTGTTGGAAGCTCTCGAATGACGCCGTCATCAGATGTTTCTATGAGGTTTAATTCGCTTTCGACGCAAGACAATTCTGAATAAATAGATTAGTTTTTTTTCAAAAATCTTTATTTATGCGAGTACTATTTATTGTTGGCAAGAAAAAATTTTGTGGCTCTTTAAAAGCTTTGAAATTTTGTAAATTGTAATTTTTGGCTCTTCCGACTCAAAAGGTTGCCGACCCCTGTTCTAGAAGTATAGATTGTATTAAAAAAAGAAACAAAAAACAGACAGATTATATCAGATTTTAACAAGATAAGACAAACTTTTTATGTATACAAATCAGAAAACTAAGAAATATTTAATAAATAAAATTATCTTCTAAATAAAGGATTTGTAAATTTCCTTAGAGTATGTTAAAATAATCATGATATAATACTAGCAAAAATAATGTTACTATATCAAAAATAATAAGAAAGCCTCATGACTTTGTTTTAAAAAATCAAATTTGTACATAATACTCACAAATACTTAAAAATTTTTTAAAGTGTTAAAAAGTTACAGCTATTTTTAATGATTTTTAAATAATTGTTTTGTTTTAATAACTTTCTCACCAAAAGTGGGATTAAGGAAAATGCTATGGATATTTTTAATACCATCCACAATTTAGGTTACAATTACTTCCTAATTAATTGCATTAATGTGGAGGAAGTGTTCTGGTTACTTATTGTTTCCAACTATGAATTACTAAAGTTTTGAATCTCATGATATTATCATCACTTTTGATATTCCCAAATACTCAATCACATTTATTGCTGTTATGCCTCCATCATTCCATGATACAATTTTTTTACACTTACAAAGATTTTTTAATTCTTTTAGAAATATGTATTTGTGCAAAATCTTGTTTTTAGGCAATTTTAACATCAAAAATATTTAATGACCAGTTGGCCTTTCATCATATTCTAAATTGGATTATACCAAACAATTTTTTGTATTTGAAATAAACTATTTCTTTGATTTTAAGCAACTTGTTCCTTTTCCTACATACAGTAAATCTTTTCTTGATCTGCTTTGTCATAACATCCATACTACTGTTCTTCCAGCTAATGGATTTAAATCTTACCACACTACTCTTTTTCTATTACTTGCTCTCTCACCCTCTGAAAATATCTAGTAACTTTATTTTAATTCCTAGATAGAAAAATTAGTGTTTTCTTATTAATTCCAATTATACTATACAAGAAAAATCTGATATAGTATATTCACATCTCACTAATTGCACTCATTCCTAACTTAATTATAAAAATATAGATACATATGATCAAAAATGGTTTAACACTTTCCTCTGAAAACTCAAAAATTTAATGTGATGCCAACAAAACAGATAAAAAATATCAGGCAATCCTAGGATCGCTATTTACAAATGCATCCAAAAACATTTCTTCAATACTTGCCAGATCAAAATATTTCAGAATATTTTGCCTAATTTCTCTAAACTTCAACCCACCAAACAATCTAACTTCTCACCTGAACAAGTTTATTATACCTATGACAAATTAAAAAACAGATATGTTCAACTTTATCATAAATGCAATCATTCAATATTTGATCTTCACACCAAATATTGAATGTCAGGAAGGAAAAACACACTGAGTGCAGTATTATTACCAGCTTTTTTATACTGCTAACGCTTTCAACAAATCTCTGATCGTCACTTCATGCAAACAAAGATTTAAAAACAAACACAAATGTTCTAACATGAGATAGAACAAACTACAGTAGAACCTCCATTATCCGGATTTTCGATTATCCGGTTGTTCAAAATAAATAAAAATTTTACGAATTTGCTGATTTGCATTTGGCGAATTACGATACTGTTTATGTACGTGATGGAATGCATAACTTTGTTTGTTTCAACATCTCACCCAGCACAGTGATCGTAAACTCTTAAATATATTTTACATAGTAATAAAAATATAACTTGACATACGTATTTATAAATAATTTATATTCAAATTACATCATTTCTATGACCAAGGACGGCGTAAGGCATGGACGACGTGGGCCACCGCCTATGCTTCGCAGTCCGAAGGGCCTCGGCCTCGAAGGTTTATGCATTACTTAAAAGCCGTGAACGCGACGAAAAAATTTTACTTGTCATAAAACGATAAATAGTTTGTCAAATTTTTATTCATAAAAATGCAGTTTCAACTGCTTTTTATTTTATAAAATCCGTCTTCTTGAGCCACCAGAGGGCCTTTTAAACAATAGGTAGTCTATAAGCGTTGGTCAGTAGTAGTTCAAATTCAATACGAACGTTTGTTTCTTGAAAATTTGATCACGGTTTAAATACAGTATTTACTTTTAATATTACCGATATGTCATCGAAAAGAAAACGCGTTGTATTATCATTAAAAGACAAATTAAAGTATTTGTTTCGATTATCCGGATTTTTCCTTATCCAGACTACCTTCATCCCCAATTAGTCTGGATAATCGAGGTTCTACTGTATTTAAATTGAAACTTAAAAAACTTTTTAGAATTAACAGCTGTTGCAAACTATAAACATTGATTACATTCGATGCTACAATGTGATGCAGTGCATACGTGGATGCAGATCCACATTAATGATGCGACAGTCGATGTAATTCACTGTTTAATTGTTTGTACAGGGCAACCCATATGTTGGGCAGGTCAAAGGTAGGAGTGTTGCACGATTCTGAGGTTGTTGTGAGGAGAGCTTCCCATATAAAGACGAGTTTCTGGTTGCTACAGCCTCTGAGTAATGTAGCTTGAGCCCATAACAGGTTGTAGCTTTGTTCGAACACCTTTTTTGAGAACTCTGTGGTGTGCTTTCCTTTCACCACATCATCCTGGTGTTCAGCTAGGTGGCTAGCAAGCATTCTTGTTGTAGCCCCAATGTAACTTGTATTCATCTCTGTTAAGGGATTCTCCAATGGTATGGCATAGACCCCCGATTTTTCAAAGGTGGAGAGTTTGTCCCAGTCATTACAGATGAGCCTGTGCAAATTCAGTAGTAGAGATAGAGGCAGGAAAAGGTTATGTTGCCTGAATATACAGCAAATATGTATAGAAAGAGGTCTGCAATACGGTAATGCTAGTAGAACTACTTTATCATAAAGCTGATTATGAGTCTTTTAACTTTTTTCCTCTACAGATTGCTTCTCATTCATATTTAAATTAACCTTGTTAAAAATATAAACTTAACCAATCTTACTTTAGTCCTGATAAATTCCCTAGTCTCATGATAAAATAAATTTGTCAATGAAATTCTGGTAATAGGAAGTAATGGAAACAAAGTATAGAGTTGTTTAATTGCTACTTGTTCTCTTAATATATCGTTTAGTTATAAACATAAATTTTGCTGAAGATAACAAATCATACAAAAACACAACCAGTAATTGACTATTCCAACTTTATTATAACAGGAAATGCATTTTGGGCCTTCTGCCCTTCCTCAGTCCTTTACTACAGATCTTTAACTATTTCTTAAAATTATGTCAATGACCACTGAATGAAACAAATTCGTATTCTTAAGCTGTATAAAAGTGGAAGTAAATGTGAATTTCTATAAAGGTTGATAAAAAATGTTTCTTTTTAGAAAGACATAAAATAAAATTATAATAAAACTAATAAAATTTTTAAAAATTTTTGCTCGGGGGTCTGGGTGGCATAACAAGCAAGCACAACACACAGCAAATGGAGGTTGCAGGTTCAAGCCCCACCCAGGTCAGTTCTTTTATTCCAGAAGGTTCTAAATTTATTTTATAAATTATTAAAATTATAATTATTAATTTAATCAAGAGATGGCACCTAATGTCTCCCTCTAGTGTCAAATTGCTTTATAATAATCATTTAATTAGCCAAATTCTAGCTCAATCTTTCAGGCGATTATTGTTTATTTCATTATATATTATTTTTCTTCTTCAATATCATTCTGTTATTTGTATAACCAGGATCTCTGAAAAGGGACCCAAAATGGTCTCTGCACTGACAGTTCTCCATTCTCTTAGGAGCCATGGAGAGGGCTATGTCAGAGTATGTAGAAAGCCAACTACTCATATATATATTGGTGATCACAAACTTTTTAATGATCTCATTCCACCTAAATTTATTACTAAATATATTTTCATCATTAACGCTTGAAATTCCATCATGCTTTTATACACTTTTTTATTGGCTCAATGTCTCCCAAATACAAACAGATTTTCAAGGTCCATTGTCAATATTAAAAACCTACTACATCACAGTTTTCATGAGTATAAATTGCTGTGTAAGAAAGCTATGTATGTATTTTAAATTTACTGTTCAAATTTATTGTTTATCTTTTAATTTTTACTAGTTTTACTTTGTTGTTGTGTGGATGATTTTTCTTGACATGGACATCACA